TGGGTCACTCGAATTCGTCTCGAAAGGCATTTTTCTGTACGTCTCTCGGGAAACTCCTTCTAAATTACAAATACTACAAGATTTAAATTACGAAACAAAAAAAAATTGAAGACATCCATCTTGGGGAGTTCTTTTCAAACTACTAAAAATTCTGCCTTAAAAAAAATTAAATTGAACCTTAACCCCATTCAACGCCATCTATGTTCAATTAACCACAATCTTTTCTTCAATATTTTTAACCACTGCCGTTTCTTCCATATTTTTCTTCTGTAGCGGAACATAGTCATGTTTAAGATTGCTAGAGATCCGATGGGTTTCTAAGATGGAGACACACAGTCTTCGTGGGCTACTATGTTGGTTGTCAGATCCAAGACTTTGGAATCAAAGCATTTTTGGCCCGACTCCGATTGCATTTGAACTTTGTCATTTAATTGAAAGTCTTTAATTTTTCTCTCTTTCATAATATGGAGGTAATGTTAAATTTGTCATTCCGATTGAAACATTTCTAAATTTTCCTCTGACACCCCAAATCATAATAAAATCAGTAAATATTCAATGTATATTTACTTCTTTGAATAAGAAGAGTTAATAACTTCTTGCTGCGACGTCTGATTTGGTTGAAAATCGGCACCAAAGCCATCAAAATACCAAAAAACGGGAGGTACCGAAAAAGTAGACTTACATTAAAAACCTTTTTCCATCGGATATACAAGTCCACTTTGTGGTATAGTCCCCATATAACCTAACTTATGGCCTAAGTAAAAGTAGGATAATTCGGCTGGGGGATGCTTGTTTTGGTTTGAAACCAGTATCGAAGCCTTAAAAATATCGAATATCAAGATATTTTAAAAGCTTTGGCGCTAGTTTCCTACCAAAACAGGCCGCCTCCAGCCGAATTATCCTACCTTGACCATAGTCGTCGGCTTGGTGACTAATGTCTAATCTCCTTACAATAATTCCACCAATCCTTTTTAATGATCCACTATGAGCTACATTGGTCCTCCTCTATCTCTCCCGGGGCAACTTTCTTCCAAGATGTCATAATTTCGGGAATCGTTTAATATTGTTGGAGTAATATTTAAAAAAAGTCTCTCCAACTTCTTGATTATTGCTAAGATTTGCACATCCTTTTGTTCTTAGAGTACCCAAAGTCGATAATTATAATTTACCAATGCGTATAATAATCATAACTTAAACTGCTAAAGGGATTTTCCTGAAAATTTTCATATGTACTACAACATCGTCTGAATGCAACATAGGCTACATACATTTTTAAAATCTCACTTGGAACTGGAGATATAGCCTCAGAATCGGAGATGCACACATATTGATCGGTTATAGATACAATCTCCAAAATTAGAATGTGTAACGGAAATCGATATAAAAATAAATTTGTCAAATTACAAATGAAATCGGTTCAAATTTGCATATAGCTCCCATATATATATTTTCAGACGATCTCATATATTTGATGCGCCAAATGCTGTATGTTTGTCCGATTCCAATGAAATTTGGAATTAACGAATTTGGTACAAAAAGAAATGTGCCAAATTATATTGAAATAACTTCAGATTTGGGTATAGCTCCTATATGTATTTTCGACCGATTTCGTTTATTTGATGCACTAAATACGATATGTGTGTTCGTCGATTCCAATGAAATTTGAAATGAGTGACCGGATTTGATCAGAAAATATATTTACCAAAATATATTGAAATCTTTTCAGATTTGAATATGGAATGTAACAATTATTCTACACACGGAACTCATCGTGAAGACGAAAGTTACTATCAAAATTTCCGTGCGTGTGTGTAAAAAGTAGTAACATGTGCCGATCCTCGATCCAAGGGGCGAGATTTCTGTGTGTGTGTGTGTGGAAAGTAGTAACATATGTACATATGTTACCGTGTCTATACGGAAGAGCCAAGTATTTGTGTTTTTTACAAATTCGAGGTGTAAAACGAACTCACCTTCTTTGTTGGCCAACTACAAATACGCAGGTAATAGCTTTCCCAGCCATCGATGATTAGGGCTTCTCATCACGTGTTTTCGTGATTTTAAAATGACGAATTTTTTCGGCTGTCCACTCTATTATGACTTTTCGAGACACGCCAGTGTTTTATTTTGCATGTGCAGAGAAAAAAATTTGGATTTGGGTACCCGACTTTTCGTCATCCCTGGTATATACCTACATGATCTTTATTGAGAAGTTAATATATCATGGGTCCATGGAAACACAAAATGTCAATTGTCAGGTAGCTGGGGTGGTAGCATAAAATGGACCTGGATCTACACCCCCATTCGATTGAATAAATACGCCTTGAATCCACATAATTCTTTCAATTGGATGGATGGATGTAGGAGTTGTACCAAAAAAAGTGGACCTATATTGACAGATTTTTTTGGCAATAAAATCAATTAACGGTTAAAAAGTTTGATAAATATATCCAAAACTCCGGAAACACATGATTAGCGCATTGAAATCGAAGTTAAAGAGGAGATTTCTTATCCTCAGTTAACACAACATGCCAATTGATGGTTAATTGAGTTGAAAATAGGTTTTGAAAATCACCTCACAATACCTTTAATCGAATGGAACTGTTATGTTGAAGTAAGGAAAACGGAGAAATTTTTATCCCCAGGATCGGGACCTAAAATGAATTTTTTTCAAATGATTTCTCTGCGAACACAATTCGGATAAAGATACATCTGAGACTATCAAAAATATTTTCAATCGATTTACCGTGAAAAAAATGTCCGTCTTAAAATATATTGGAGGAGATGATGCAATCCACATACCACATACTTCAATCCGTTCGGAAGCTATGAAACACGTCCGGCTTCCCACACAGTCGACTCCATTTTCGTGCTGGTCGATGTCAAACTTCAAGAATAACATTAATATCCAAGGATCGGGACATATAAGGGATTTTTTTTCAAATGTTTTTTCTCTGCGAACACAATTCGGTTAAAGATACACCTGAGACTATTGCAATACTTTCAATAATGTATCCTGTGTATCCTGCGTTTTGTGGTGGAGCGTGTACAAATTTATTAAATAAAACCAATTTTACCGATATTCCATATTCTGTCTTCACAAGTTATTCAAATGTAGTTCACCCTCCACCATAGTTTAGAGGGTATATTAAGTTGGTCATTCCGTTTGTAACACCTCGAAATATACATTTTAGACCCCACAAAGCATATATATTCTTGTTTAGCATAAAATTCTATGCCGATTTAACGATGTCCGTCCGTCTGTTGAAATCAATCTAGTATACGAACGAAATTAAGTAGGTTGATAAAATGTCTGCAGAACTTTTGGAATTGAAAATGGACCATGTTTTAGTACAGCTCCCATACAATAGTACTTGTCTATGTTTGGTATTTTGGTGATTTAAGTGACATTATTCACCGGAATTGTTTCAAATTTAGAATTTGAAGTTCATAATGGATACTACAGCCTAAGACAGAAATTTGTCTGTGCAGGTAGGTCCACGTCTTCGTATATACTCCATATAACGGCAGCTCCCGATATTCGATATTTTGACGATTTTAGCAACATTATTCACCGGAATTGTTTCAAATTTGTATTTGAAGTTCGTAATAGATACTACAACCTAAGACAGAAAATTGTCTGTGCAGGTCCACGCCTTCGTATAGCCCCCATATAACGGTACCTCCAGATATTCGGTATTTTGATGATTTTAGATATACTATTCACCGATTTTTTTGAAGTTTCCCATTTGAATATTATAATGGCTTATGACAAAAGTTGCCTATGCGGGTCTACGTCGGCGTATAGCCCCTAATATAACGGCTACATTCCGCATTTTCAAGATTTTAACAGAATTTTTAACGGATTTTTTTTGAATATTGTCAAATTCCTTCCCTTTTATTTGTTTTAATATGTCAAAAACACTTCAAATAATTTTAATTTGGTGACACACCAAATGCCTTGACCTAATTGGCCCATTTTCTATTCAAAAACTTTAACACATTCGGGAGCTACTGCGGGTTTCCAACACTGAAGGACTGGACTGGTTCTAACATCCTGGATAAAGCATTTTTTCCAGCATTCAATATTTTTTTTGTTATAGATGTTCAAAATTCTGTCTCCAGAATGAATATTCGAAACATTATAAATTTATAAATTTATTTAATTTTTATAAATTTATAAATTTATTTTAATTGCAAATTCGAGCATTTTATTTGTAGTTTATATGCATTCAATTCGATTTCGGGAATTATGTTTGTAAGTCGTAACATTCGATTTGAATACCGAATTATTCCATTTGTAATTTGAAGCATTTGAGTAAATGGGAATCCGTTCCATTGCATTTCAAAATTGGAAGTATTTCATTCGAAATCTGAATTATTCTATTTGAAATTCGAAGTTTTCTATTGGAAATTCAAATTATTTTATTTGAAATTCGATTTATTTTATTTGAAATTCGAATTATTTCAATGTAAATTTGGGAATTCTATTTATAATTCGTTGCAATCCATTTCAAATTCGAATTGTTTCATTTAAAATTTGAATTTTTCAATTTAAAATTCGAATTATTCTATTGACGGTTTCTATTTCGAGAATTTCATTCGCAATTCAAGACATTAAAATTCGAATTCAAAACAAAAAAAAATACATTTTTTGAATTGTCTTTATATTTCCTTTTTCGAATTACAAATAAAATGATTCGAACATAAAATGGCGTAATTCAAATGAAATAATTCGAATTACAAATCCTAAATTCTAAAGGAATTTCAAACAAAATTCTCAATTTACAAATCAGAACTTGAATAACGAATAGAAAATTTCGAACGAAATAAATCGAATTAAAAAACGAATCATTTGTAAATCAAAATTTTCTTCAAAATATTTCACAAATTGCAAAAATAAATTCTAAAATGAATTGGTACCAGTTGCTATTTAAATGTTTCAAATTATATTTAAAAAAAGCGGATAGTAATCTTCCCATTGTTAATAATATTGAAAAAAAATAAATTTCGTTTTCTTTCCAAAATAATTAATAAAAAAAACAGCCAATTTTCTTTTATGAGATACATAAATTTCTTTATTTAATAACTAATTCAATTTTCAAAAAAAAAAAATGAAAACAATTTTTCTTTTTTGTTCGTGAAATGAGCACAATTTGTTGATTTCTTTTCGGCGTTACATTCATTAATTAATGGGTCAATGTTAAACTGGAGCAATAGGCAAATGTTGTCATTCTCTCGTGCAGTCTCTTTTAACATTAACATGGGGGTTTCTCAATTCTCTTGGTTTTTTGGGTGAGTGAGAGTGATAACAAAAAGTAAGAGGAAAAGGTATGCATGTTTTCTTCGTTTTTGTGTGGTGAGAGAATGATGGTTGGTTTAACGTTTATAATTCTCAGGGAGAAAGGGGCAGAGAGTTTAACACACACATACACTGCGAAAGAGAGAGAAAGATGATGTGGAATATGCAGTTGTAAGGGATGTATTTGAAAGATATTGTTGTAATAAAAGTTGTGAGTCAAGAGCACTCTCTTTAGTTGCTCTTTCTCTTTAACTCTTCTTAATCCCAAAAATTGCATATTCCACATGTTTGTGTGTAAATATGTGTGTGTCTGTTTTCCGTTTTAATGCTATGTTTATATTTAATGTTCTGGGTTTTAATACTTTCATATCGAATTGATTTCACATGTTTTTGTTGTTTCAATCTTTTGTTTGTTGTTGGTTTTTCATTTTTTTTTTTGGTTTTTATATAAAATTAATGTTCAAGTCTTTTCAGAAACAAATGCATTACGATCAAATTGTTGTTGTTATTATTATTATTGGTTTGTTTTGGTTTGACAATACATTGCTATTTTTTCGGGTTTTGTTTTTATTTTGAATTTTCTTATTTTGTTTGTGGTTGGTTTTGTGTTGTTGTGATTCAATTAATTTATTTAGTTATCAATTTTGTTTAATTTTTTTCTTTTATTATTTGAAAAATAACATTTGCTATTTTGTTGTTGTTTTGGTTTTGTTTTTTGACATTTCGTTACTTAATGCTATGCTATATGTAATTAAAATGTAAGATTCTTCTTGTTTTTCTTATTTTTTGGTTTATTTATTTTTTTTTGTTTTAATTTATTACTGTCTCTTCTGCTGCTGCTTTCCTCAATTTGTGGCTAAGTTTTTTCCATTTTCTATTGGAAAAATTCATTTTCTGATGTTGTTGGAAATTGTTAAGGGCTTAGGGGTTGGGGGGTAGGTTTACATATATAACTGTCTCAATATTGCCTTAGTTTATACATAATTCCTCGATGAATGCGGATCATAGGGGGAGGTTCTCCCCCTATATAGTTGAATTTCAACTAAGTTTCATTTTGTCTTGGCTTGCCTGTATTCTGGGGGTTTCTGGGGGGAGTGGAGGGGACAATTTTTCTAATAGGAATTTCAAGTTGATTTGCTTTGCTCTGCTCTTGGTTTCGGTTTCAAGTGCCTTGCTTTTTTCTTTTCTATCTTTTGGTTATTTTTTCTCTTTCGTTTTTTTTCTTGTTGTTGTTGTGGTATACATCATTTTTCTGTGATTTTATTTTATTAATTTTTTGGTTTTCTTTTTTTCTGTTTTTTACTGTTCGTTTGTTTAATTTATTGTTGTTGTTCTTGTTACATTAACTTCTAATTTCCATAATTTTGTTTTTCTTTTTGTTTTGCTTTTGGTTTCTCTATGAAAATTAATTTTTGGAACCGTCTTTGCGTGACGTTGAGGGGGCATCGCCTAAGTTTATCATGTCTCGTGGTTTCCACACCGGGGACCCTATAATAAAAATGAAAGAAAAGAAAGAAATGTGGAAATCATATGAAAAATGTTTTGGTTTTTTCGATTTTTTTTTGCTTTTTGGTTTTTGAAAGAATTTTGGATAATTTGAAAAAGAAACGATTTAACTACAAATAATAATTTTTCAAAATCAAAATTTATAAAAGAAAATTAATAAAATTTGTATTATTTGCCAATTTTTGTTGTTAGTTAAGAATGATAGTTGCTTCGATAAAGAGAAAATAAATTTAAAGAGAAAACGTGAACAAAGAGAGGGAGAGGGGCACATTACTCTTGGCTGCAAGAGAAAGTGTCACACGGGAGAAAATATGTTTACTTTCCCTTTAAACCTGTAGTTAGTAGTGGTACAACACTTTCCCGCTGAATAAAGTCAAAGGTCTCTTTGATAACTAAGTTGAGAGAACTGAAATTTACTCAAAGGTCTCACCACTCTCCCAAAAAGCGTAAAATATTCTAGGAGGGCACTCCATGGAAGACATTCTTCGGTTCGATCATACAGAGCGATTTTCTGGGCGAAAACTGAGTTCATGGGTTGGAGAGAGAGAAAGAGAGAGAGGATGTGTGCAATGAAGAACATTTTTCTTTGCTCTTCTTATTTCTCTCACAAAGCACTGACTTCATATCTCTCAAATTGTTGGCGTTTCAATCACGAATTCCATTGAAGCAAGATTGGGCGAAAAAGCTCCAATTGATATTTGACTAATTTGCGGTCTTGACCTAGGTCTTCTTTGAAATTAAATTGAGATTAAGAAAAAGAGAAAAAAATATCACTCTTTTATATCCTCTCTCTTTTACCAAAACGAGTGATTGTCTTTAAGAAAGCTTTCTAAGAGGATGAGAGATTAGGAATCACATTGTGATTAAGAAGATGAGAAAAAATACTACTCTCTCATATCCTCTCTCTTAAACGAGTGATTGTCCTTAAGAAAGCTTAAAGAAAGGGACTGAGAGTGAGATTGAAATAATCTTGAGTTCTATCTCTCATGTTTCAGATTTCTTGATAGGAGACGACCGACGTCAGGAGACGTAAGGACGTCACTTTTTCGTTGCTCACATCCATGTAGTTTCTCTCTAGCGAGAAGTCATTCTGTGTTCTTTGCTTTACTCTTTACTGAAGTCGAATTGAGAGTAGAAAATGGAAAAATGTCGCTCTCTTATTCTCTCCCTCTCTCTATAACAAAACTTTTTAAGAAAACTTCCTTTGATTGAAAGATCAAAGAGTGTGATTGCAATCACCTAGCCTTCCTTATATCCACTATCAATTTTCTTGGTAAGCAAAGGCAGTGCTGCTTAAGAACCAGATATCGCCCACCAGTCCAATTTTTTTATTATTAAAAAATCAGTATCAAAACATAATTCTTGCATTTTTTGCAGTTATTAGCTTTATTTATAATTTTTGATAATAATCCCTTTTGCACGCGGTTTTGAGCAGTGCTGGTAAAGAGGAGGGTCTTTTCCTCGTAAATCAATCCTGTGAGAAACCTTTCTATGATCTTTGCTTTGATTTTCAAGGAAATCAAAGGAATTACTCTTTCCTTTTCTCTCTCTCTATAACAAAAAAAATAGTTTGTTTTTTAAGAGAGAGAGAGAGAAAGCTTGTTTTCAGTTTTCTGGCCTGAAAGTTCAGAGCTCAGTGGCAACACTTTTCCATTGCTAATTTTCTCCCCAAGCACTCTCTTTTCTGTGAGAAGCACTTTTGCGCTCTTTACTTAGCTCTTCGTTAGGAAAAAGATTGGAAAAGATCTCTCAATTATCTCCCGCTTATTGTACCAAAAATTTGTCTGTTTTTCGCTGAAGTGGCCTGAAGTTTCAATAGGGCGAAGAAAATATTACTCTTTCCTTTCCCATCTCTCTCTCTCTCTCTATACCGTAGATGGGCAAGTATGCACGTTAGGGTTGCTGTCTCCTATTCTTCTCTTTCCTTACTTTGCCCATCTATGCTCTATGCCAAAATGTGAGTTGATGGAAGTTTTTTTTACGGAAAATTGCACCCTTCTATATCCCTTCTCTTTAAGAAACTCTTAGTTGTTTCAGTGATGATTTGAGTGTCTGATATCAGGCCACATATGATGTCAGGCAAATTCTTCCATATTTTTTTGACATAAGAGAAAAAATGTTTTCCTTCGTTATTCCGACTCTCTTTAATAAAAACGTCAATAATATAGTTTTCTCTTCATGAATATTTTCTCTTAATTTTTCTCTTGCAATAACTTTCTTCAAAAAAAAAACTAGAGAAATAATATAATAAATGAATAATCCTTCTAATAGCTACAATTCGATCAAACACATAATAAATATCTTCAGATATGTTGTGTTGTATGTCATGTATAGCGTGTAAATATGTTTATGAGAATGAAATAAAAATTAAAACGAAATATATATTTAATCACAAAAATAACATGCCTTAAACATTACTCTCATTTCAGATGATTATGGTGATTAAAAAAAAATAATAAAACAATCGAGATATACTAAAGAGTAAAAACCAAATTCGAGCAATATGTGATAGAGAAATGTCCATACTAATTAAGGTGATGCAAAAAGTAACGAAAAAGGAGGTGGTGGTAAGTACATGAGAGTGATTAAAATGTTGACATCGCTTGTCTCTTAGGAATTATTTGCTCGTTTTCATATGTCTCTTCATTTCATCTAATTTAATTTAAATTAATTTAATTTGATTTTTAGGGCTTTGTTAACTTTCTGTGTATAATTGAATACTGAAACCGCTTTATTAAATCCGTTAATTTATAATTTGTTTTTGTTGTTTCCTTAGTTTGGTTTTTCTTTTTTTTTTCTTTGTTAACTAATTGTGATATGAATCATTATGCCAACATTTAATTTGTATGACAAATAAGAAACTGAATAGAACAATAATGGTGATAATGAAAAGCGATTGAATGTTAAATGGTTTTGAGACTGTTGCATGAAGTATTAGGTGTTTTATGGCCCAGGTGTCAGAAAAAATTAAGTTTCTCATCTGAAAAACTTCTTTAATTGAACATTTTAGTTTGCATTATTTAAATTGAAAATAATTTAGATTTTTTTAAGTACCTCCGTTTAATTAATAAGTTATTTAATATAGAAATATTCAACGGCCACAAGTTTTAATTTGGAATATTTGGTTTTGGTAAATTTTTGCATAGGTAAATACGTTACGTTAAATGCTAAGGGAAGTAAGTTTCCTTGCCGATCCTATATTACAAAAATTTATTCTATATAGTTTGGTGGACAATTTTAATGTCTTTATGTTTCTCAAGAGATTTAACAGTATTTGGATACTGTAAATTCAGCGGGAAAATACCGATTTTTAGGTTGTATAAACAGGTTTTACTTTGAATTCTCAGAATGCGTTGGAAAACATAATAATTATTCCTGCTTTCATAAAAAATTAAATTTCAATAATTGTCTTGCAAATGGTCTAAATCAAATGTAATCTTCCGAACGTATCATAGTCGTATCCTTGGATTTATACATGGTCTTCGATACCAGCGATCCAGGCATAATCAAATAAGAAATTCTGGTCACCAAGTCGAAAACTTAAATCAAAAGATTAGGGTTTTATTAACGTTGCCCGCCATCCCGTCCCATGGAGTCAATATTGACGAACTTTACATGAAGTAAACTAGATAGCTTTGATTCTTGCAGAGACGAAAACGACAGCTCTGTGTAGGACCTAAGATGTAGAAAAATTATATGATACCCGACAGTTTTCGCCTTCCATGATCCAAGCATAACATCTAAAGCCCTCATAACTTCTTTTATATGTGCTTCAGCCCCAAAAACACAATCAAAAGATATGGCAGGGAATAAAACGCACCGCTCTTGTTAAAATATACCCCTCTAAAATCTTCTTCATTTTCTACATTTCAGAAAATGTTTCTAGCACCACCAAGGACATTCAAAATAAGATTAATTCATATAGGCCTCTGGAGTCAATTTGGAGAAATTACCTAGTCTCAATTTCTGTATTTCTGAATAAGAATTTCATTTATACTCCACCCACTTTTAAAACATTCTTTATTACGAGATTCTATGATACCTGCACCAAAGACAGAACAGTTCCAACTGTCCAAATCCCCAACATTATATCTCCTCTTTAGATATTGCAGATTTGAAATGCGTTTAGGTGCCCAAAGCCACTACGGGCAGAAGGCAGGAGGAGGGGTTAAAACTCTAATCGCCTGGCTCTGCTTTGAAATAAACCAAAAACCATTCTACTGTCTTTTTTCTTAAATCGGCCAAATTTGACTATTAAAAAATGTGTAAAGAGAACATCATTTGCTGTCATTATTAGTTGTCTCTCTCTCTAGAAGTTTGCCAACGAGATTTCCTACAACCCTTTTCAGATGTAATTCAAAAATTTTTTGTTGAAATTCGAGAATTCCATTTGTAATTCGAAACGTTTAAAATTTAATTTTCAAATTCAAATCATTTAAAATTCCTAAGAATTCCTTTCGAAGTTCGAGATATTTTATTTGTAATTTGAATTTTTCCTTTTTTATTCGAATTATTCCATTAACAATTCGAATTGTTCAACTTGTAATTCGAATCATTTTATTTTTAATTCGAAAAAGTAAATACAAAGCCAAAAATAATTCAAATTCCCAATAGAATAATTTGAATATGGAATAATTGGATTTGCGAATGAAATAATTCGAATTTAAATGAAATGTTACGAATGCTCAGAATTACAAAAGGATTCCTCGAATTTTTTTTATAAATGTTTAGGTTTACATTTGAAAAAGCTGTACTTTTTCGTTTACAGAACGTATTTTTTTTTTTTTTGATTCAGCTCAGAATTGCATTGGATCATAGACAAATGAAAATATAGACAACGAAATGCTCTCACCGTTTATCTTCGAAAAAAATCGAATCAGCAGATGTCGTCTATATCGTTTCAGGGGTTTGAGTGGGAATATTGAAGTCACTCAATTCTAAAACGTTAAAAATAACAAAAACTGTAGGATATTTGTCAGTTG